TCTTGGAGGAAGAAACAGTATCTCACACCAAAGCGAGTGCCTTTACTTTGATCTGAAGCAGCACCGAGACAGTGCAGTGAAGGAGCTTCATTTCTTCTGTCTCCACTGCCATATGTAGAAGCACACTGAAAACAGGAACAATGTTTTAACCATTTTTCCAAGACTCCACGAAAGTTAACGAAAGTTATATTAAGAGACATCATCTTCATCTCACCCTCACAGTAATCTCCAGATATGGGGTACATTTGAAGCAACTCCTGTGTTGCTTTTGCAACATCAGCTTGGAACCATGATGAACTATTAAAGAAGAAAATCTCAGTACAAGGCAGCTTCCTTTTCTGAGCTGAGGAGAAAGTGCCATTTTACAGAAAGAGAAGCCCACAAGCTGGTTAGATTATTTTTTCACTGTGCCAAGTCAGAATGATTCAGAGAGTCCCCACAAGCTTTTTCTGCAGAGCCCCACAAAAACTAGCTGCTTCTGAACCTTTATTTTTAAAAAGCCTATAAGCAAACCAGAAAAAAATAATATGCTACACAGAATCTCACCAAACCAACAAAAGTCAAAGAAAGTTTTGTGTGTCTCAAATCACGTTCATACTGGATGCAAGCCCACATTGGACCTTTCCCAGTCCACCCAACTCCAGAGAAGTGTCACACTAAAGCATCTCACCATGAAAAAATGGGGAAAGGGTCCATCTGCTCATAACAGCCCTGAGGTTGAGAGAGACACTAATTTTCGACATCTGCACAAATAAAGAGCCTATCGAAAACAAGTAGCTGGTGTTAATTGCAAACTTGTAGCGAACTTTGACCGTACTTTATTGCTGTTTGTTTTGTTGTGAACAAACGCTAAATCCTGAGCTAGTTAACAGAGTTGCAAAGCAATTTCACAGCACCTGTACAGCTGGTACAGCTGAATACAAAATGATTCGATTGCAAATGGTTTACCTAAGAGTCTTGAAGCATCATGCACTGTCGAGGGAGGATTGCAAATACTGCAGATCCTGCAGCCCTCCAGCATTTGAGACAACCTGCCTTCCCTCGTGAGCTGCTTTAGGAGTAACTGACTGGCACTTACCTACGGCAGTGCCACTGGAGTCTTCCAAAGTACCAGTGTTATGCCAGGGGCTCCCTGATGCTCCTTCTGTATCTGCTAACCTTCATTTGCTAATGCTCAACTTCTGTGCAATGGTCTGCTGCAATGCCAGGGAGGGAGGGGCCTTTTATGTCAGCAAGGGCACAACGAGACCAACAATGCATGTTTCTAAGCCATGTTCACTCTTTCTCTATCATGCTGAAGGTTTAGTCAGCTACATGATTTAATGTTAGCTAAAATTTCAGTATAGAAATAACAGCAAAAGGTATCAGGTATATAAGGAACTATGTATTTTTTTTCTTTAAAAAAAGAGTAATTTATTTATCACTAGAGTTATTGTTTGCAGAAAGTTCAATGGAAGTACCGATAAGATTAATAACGACTTTGTCCTTTGTGTAATCAAAAAAACCAAAGGAATTTCCTTCTCACTTGAGATCAAGTCCTTTTTCAGGCACTGCTAACTTCCCAGGGCACAAAGAAAGCACACTCTTAATTAGCTCTTGACTAGCTGTAGCTGTTTAAATATTGTTTCTTTCATCATCCAGTCAGAGTGGACTTGGCTTCACCAAGCCACTCATTACACTGGCAGCACAGCTGTGTTGATGGTAGTCACTAAATTTCTGCAGGCATCAGGCACATATCCCCACCTGGCATTCAAGTCTAGTCTGCATCCTCTGTCAAACTCAGTAGCCTCTCTCAGGGGTCTGCCTTGTTTGCGCAACAAACAACAGAAAGGGCCATCTGCCTATTTCTTGGGCTTTCTACTAGGGTGTATTTCAACTTGGGAAATGCTGTCAAACAAAGCAGCTGATGCCATTTCCTGGGTCTGCTCTCAGGAACCCCAGGCTCAGACCTCACTGCGACAGGCTGCCCCTGGGAGTGTATGCAGTGATCCAGCTGCACAGGAGCCCAAAATCCACAAATCAGAATGATGCCATGCATTCCGAGTGTGTCACATCACATCTTGTACTACTGGCTACTATCCAGTACCAGGCATTTCTGACTGGTTAGTTATCTATTTGTATAGCATGCTCTCAGATCCTAGTATCTACCAAAGCTGCATCTGAAGTGTTTTATTTCGCAGGGTGACTGCCCTCCTCACAGAATTTATAAAAGCTGTCTGGCAGTCACACTCCTGAGTGCTTTAGTAGAGTGCAATCAGGTTTTGCAAGTTAGCTTAATGGTTGCTTCTCACTTGCATTCTGAGTAATTCCTTCCATTCACTTGCACCCACACACTAAGATTTCCTACTTTTCAGGTCTGAAATTTTGGCTTGTAATGCAGCTGCAATGTCTTGCAATTCCATATTTCTTGTTATGTTTGCATATCTTTGAGAAACTCATATAGTAACATTGCTTCGTCATGCTCTGGTGGCTGAGGAATGTATTCACCCTCATTTAATCACCTGCAACTATATGCAGACACACATTTCTATTCTGGGTCCAGTTTGACATGCGCAACAAATTCTCCTTCAAACTCTGCTTGGCCAAGGACCGCAGACCATCTTCAGCAGTCACGCTCTCTCTGCAAAATGGCACCCCAGCACACTAGAAGTACAGAACATCCTGGCATGGTGGGGGGATAATTTGCAACTTCTGAAGGCAGAGAAGGAACGTTAAAAAAAAAAAAAGGCAAAAAAAAAAGCAATTTTAAATCCCTTAATCAAGTTACTGAGGTATATTTGCACAGGCGCATGTTTTTGTACAGCTAAATCGACGGTAAAAGAAAGTACAAAATACAAAATTTGATGGGTATATAAAGATGCAGAACAAAATTTGGACTTCCTAGGAAAACTTAGAGACAGTTTAACAACAAAAATAACACACACAGCCACCACAATAAAGATGTGATTAAAAAGACAAAAATCAATTAAAAGTGAAGACTTTCAGCAGTGTCAGAATACACTCAGCACATTTGTAGTTATGAGTTACACACTCAAACCCCTCTTCACTTGTCACTTATTTATTACTTACCTTAAGAGGACTCTATAAAAAGCTTGCCTGAATTTATTCTTCCTGTTTTATTCCAGGATAATCACCTGTTGCAAGGAGATGACATCCACAGCTTCTCTCCCAAGCTGGAGTTTCTCCCATACCATTCCCATAACCCTTTCTCTTCCACTCTTAGGACTATAAAAAGAAATAAATATTCTTGGTAGACTTTTTTGAATGCCGGGGTTGGGCTGGCTAATGAAATTAAATCCAGGAAAGTTATCAAAGATTTAGGAGGAAATCTATCCTAAAATCTATACAAAGTATCATAATGGTATAAGGCCAAGGGTACACAGGGATGGGGGTTATTAGAACAGGGGTACACAAATTCTTCATATTTAGTTTGCTGACCTGTCTCAGTCTTCTGACCCAAATCATCATAACTAATTTGCAATGCACAAGAAATAGGTCACTTTGCATTACATTTAATCAGCTCCACAAAAGGATAACAACTCTGAAATCTGCTTTAGGACTTCATTTATATTTCCTTTTTCATTGCAATTTTCCTCCTACTAATGATGAAACCACAATACGGTTTAAACAACTAGAACTTGAGTAGCATCATAAACAATCACCTGCTACATACTCCCCTGTGTAGCCAATTTTCCTATTAGCCAAAACCTCCAAATTCATCCTAAAAATCTAGAGGAAAGAGCACAAAGAAAATACACACCCTTTGGGGGAGATTTGGGTTAGATTAACGAAAAAAACAAACAAAAAAACCCAACCCAAATCCCCAAAATTCATTACATTAAAACAACTCTAATGAGATTTTTTTTTCCTTTTAAAGGAGAAGCAATTAATTTAAGCCATTCCTTAGGAAACAAAGCAGAGGAAAAATGCTCCCTTCCCATTTCCAAGCCCAGCTCCCGCTTTCTGAAGCCTTCCTCTTGACACATACTTTTTAGGTTCAGCCGAAAGCATCTCCTTTCCCTCCGCTCATCTGCTCTGTGCAGGGCTGCTGAGCTGCGACTCATTCTGAGGAGCATCTGAAATCCCAGGGTTTAAAAAGCCACTCGCAAGCAAGCCCTCCTCCGGTCCCAGCCTGACAGCTCCGGGAGCATATCGAACCGTAGCTCTAGCCCCCAGCAAGCCACCACCGATCCCATTATTCAGCCTGATTGCCTCTGCTGTGACTATTTCAAGCGCAAAATGAGGACTTAAAAAACAACCCAAAATTAAATACCTCACAATTTCAGTTGTTTGGTTTTTGGTTTTATTTTTAAAGAAAGGAATGGACACCCAGAGAAGCTTGTTCCCAGGGCATCCCAGCTGGCTACCTCTTCCCAGCCCATCCTGGCAGCATCCCGACACCACAAAGGTACCTCCTCTGAGGCTGAGCATCCTTGGGCAGTTGGTGCCCAGGACTCTGCCTGCTCTATACCTGCTCCCTGTGGTCCAGAGCGGGCAGCGTGGGCAGACAGCGATGGAGAGCAGCGCCTAGGATTTCGCTCGCAGCAACTGGTGACAGTGGCTTCTTATGCTTTTGCTG